CCCACCCAGACCAACCCCCCCCATCCCCCCACCAAAACCAAAATTTTATTGCAGATTCAGGGTCCTCTCGCCGAGCGCAGAACGACCCCGGTTTCAAAAAAAAACTCTGGCCGGTTTTTTGTCCTGCCTGGTTTACCTGGGCGGCCCCTCCGGGCCCAACCGGCTTGGGCCCGGCCGGGTGGCGTCCTCACTCAGCTGAAATGACACCAAAATAGCTTCTGACAAACATCAGAACCACCGAGGGCAGATACTCACACTAGCACTTTTTTACTTTGTTTCTGGATGAAATTGCAGCCAGATGCACACAGCTCCAGCTGTAAATGCAGTCAGATACGTTTAAGATAGTGCTACTTTGAGTACCGCCCAGAGTGGCACAGTCATAGCCAGTTCCTGATAGGGGAATGAATGGCCTCCGAAGAGTCTGGGCAGTAAAATGCGGGAAAAGAGACAACAGACTGACTGCATTCGTATTCCATCCTTGTCTGTTTCAGCAAAAAATGACCCGACTGCCTGCTCTTTTGCGCTGAAGAGACACGTCATCAATCTCTGACTTGCTCATTGCCTTATAAATATATGGCAATATATATCGTCATCGTATGTATCAACTAGAAGAGCGCACTGCGCGAAAAACAAACGATAAATGTCACAGAAGACAAACATGAAGAGCACAGTGAACCGCATTCTTCTAGTCATTTCAAGCTTCTCCTTGACGCCTTCCAAATTTGAAAGTGCTGCAAAAAAAAAAGAAGACGATGATGATGACGACGATCACGAAGAAGAAGAAGAAGAAGAAGAAGAAGAAGAAGAAGAAGAAGAAGAAGAAGAAGAAGAAGAAGAAGAAAGAAGAAGACAAGAAAGAAGAAGATGAAGAAGACAAGAAAGAAGAAGACAAGAAAGAAGAAGACAAGGAAGAAGAAGAAGAAGAAGAAGAAGAAGAAGAAGAAGAAGAAGAAGAAGAAGAAGAAGAAGAAGAAGACAAGAAAGAAGAAGAAGAAGAAGAAGAAGAAGAAGAAGAAGAAGAAGAAGAAGAAAAAGAAGAAGAAGAAGCAAGAAAGAGAAATTGAGGGCCCCTTCCTTGCCATCCCCCCATTTCAGGGCCTGGTTTGCTCTGTCAAATGGACCCATAATTCCCCAGGGGTTGCGTACATGGATAAACACACCCTGAGGCTTCCTGCACCGGAAATCGTCCTCCGGATTGCTCCATCTAGGGAGTTGATGGTCGCGTAACTGAGAGACCTGTATCCCTACTTACCAATCTATCATGCCTTGCTCTGTTGTAGTGCAAAAATAGCAGTTGCATTGCAACAGAAGCGTGTCTCGTGGCCATCGGATCACTCATATTGCTGATGATATCTGGAATCAGGGCATACTCACACTAGGACTTTTTCTACAAAGCTCCGGGGCTGATAGCAGTATGTAACTGCAGTCAGATTCATCCACGTCCCGCCGTAATTGCAGTCCGATTCATCCTGGAAAATCCGAGTGTGAGTATGCCCTGATGGGTGGGAGGGGTCCATCTTCAGAGGTTCCCCCACCAGGCTCCTTCTTCAAGACAACAACTTCGTTCTTGTGCGATATTTTGATGAAAACCGTGCAAAGGCCCGCATACACCTTGTGAAGAATGGCACCTTGGCTGTCGTCACATCTGTTGTCACATGCTTGCCCCAGTGGGTGGGAAGGGCCTATCTTAAGAAGAAGTCCCCCAAGCAGGCTCCTTCCTTGAGACCACAACTTCCCTTCTTGCGCGAGATGTACCCCTTTACGTAACCCTTGCAGACGAGCGTGGACATGATGCACTCCACCTCCTCGAAGTCAATGTCGACACTCAGCCACTTGAAAGCTTTACGAAGGACACCTGGCAGCTTGACTGTTGTCACATGTTTGCCCCAATGGCGGGGAAGGGTCCATCTTTAGAGGTTCCCCCAGCAGGCTCCTTCTTCAAGACAACAACTTTGTTCTTGTGCGAGATATACCCCTTTACGTAACCCTTGTAGATGAGCGTGGACATGATGCACTCCACCTCCTCGAAATCAATGTCGACGCTCAACCACTTGAACGCTTTATGAATGACATCCAGCTTCAGCAGGTGGGCTTTGTCGGCATCCCTCTGCTTCTGAATGAGATATATCCGCTTGATGATCTGGCGGTAAACAACGGTCTCCAACTTCTCGAGCACCAAGTACACGCCTGCCTTCAAGAATCTATCCTCGTGCCGAAGCAGAGCTTTCTTCAACAGCCGAACATCCCCGCTCCGGATTGCCCTCACCACATCGATATACTCGTACAGGTGATAAGCCTTCAAAAGCTCATATGATGGCAATACCCCTGTAGAGGCCTTCACGGGGACAAGATACATGAGAATAATCCGAATGTTGCTTCTGTGTGACCTATGGCAGTGTGCCAGAGCGTACGAGAGCTTCTTGTTCGCCATCTCGAAGTTGTCGTTCAACACCTCCAGCCGGCCCGTGTAGTAGTTATAAGTGACCCTTTCGGATGCCGGCCAGAGATTGAAGTCGTAGAAGTTCGGTTTCTCCATCGTGTTGATTAGATGTCGACAGAGATTGACGGTGTTCAGCTTGAAATAAACTTTGAACAGTTGGCACGTGATGCTGAGCGTTGCACCTCTTTTCGCCTTGGTTCCGGTAAGCGTGGAGAATGCGGACATCATACGTCGCCCGGCATCCGTTAGCTTCTCTGGGAGCTTTCCCTGCATGGCTAGCTCCTTATCCGCCCTGGTGGCGACCATCCTCAGGTCATACACCAGGACCTTTATGCAGTCCAAAGGCCACATAGTCTCTTGGTTGCGGAATTCCGACAAGAATGCCTGTGAAGACTGAGTCAACAGCGTGTACGCATCGACGAAGCACCCACGTTGATAGGCTTGCATGGCCCGAAAGTGAACCGCAAGTGCCTCGCCGATCGTAATAATCGCAGTGTCCACAATCGAACAGAAATGGCTCAAGTCGATCTTCGGATTTCGGTCCAAAATGAGACCGACGCGTTCTCGAATCCGTTGACTCTTAGATATCTGCAGAAACTCCGCAACTTTCCCTCCATCCTTGGCCTCCACGGCGTTTGCAAACGCCATGATGATCCTGTTCAGCTCTCCCGCCATATTTCTACTGCACCAGATACTCCTCTTTTTCTCCTTGTTGTTCCAGAAAAGCTGGCTATTTTTCTGTGTTTTGGTCGCACAGACGGACTCCGCCCTTGTTTCGCCCACGAAGAGTCGTTATTCTTCTCGCCCCTACTAGCAAATTTTCACCCTCCCCTATACTTCCCTTAGCAAGCTCTCCATCACGCCTGTCTGGTTCAAGCTTATTGCCTATCTTCTTTTCCCTCTTGGTCTCAGCCGCACATGCTGATCCCGTACCGGTTCCTCATTCTATCGGCACCGGGACCGTTGCCTTGTTTCTGTGACCGCTTGGAGACGGATTCTGAGACCGCAGGTTCTATACAATCATCCTACGATTTGATTCATACCGGGTCCTGCCCCGCCGGACTCAGTCCCCAGATTCTGCATCAGATGAGCATGACTTCGTGCCGAGTTGATATCGTGCACCATAACAGAGGATGCCCCGCCCCCTCCTGTCCCAAACGACTCTGCGTACCACCGAGTCCCGTCAACCGTTCCCAGATGATGCGGCACCAGGTCGTTTTCCTTTTTCTAACTGATCAGATTAGATACTACACTTGATCCTTGCAGAGAGGTCGAGAAAGGTATGGCCCGTCCCAGGTCCCTTCCTAGAGATTCTCAAAATAGCTTCCCCACCAGACGATTCTCTGCCAGAGTCTTCCCCGGAAGGTTCTGCATTGTACCAGGACCGGCTTCCGGACCAGCTTCCGGACCAGCTTCCGGACCAGCTTCTGTGCTCAAACAATGCGGTATTAGATTCCGTCACAGATGATTCGCTACAAGGTTCATCGCAGACGATTCTGTAACAGGCAATTCACTCCAGATACTTGTCACCAGGTTCTGCACCTGATGATTTTGTACCAGGACCAGCTTCTGTGCTCAAATAACGCTGTATTAGCTTCTGTCACATATGATTCGCTACGAGGTTTATCACAGACGATTCGGTACCGGGTGCATCACAACAGATGATTGCGCCCCAGTGTCGATCTCTCTGACACACCTTCAGAGGCTGCCAGAACCTCAGCTTGCAAAACCCTAAACCCTAAAGCAGCCGATGAACTGCCCACCCTGTACACACCAGCTTTTCTGTTGCTGTCAACAAAAAAGTCATTGACTATTTCTGTTGCTGTCAACAAAAAAGTCATTGACTAAGGATCCTGCATCCTTTCATCTGCAGCTGTAGCAGTGGACTCAAGGCGTCACTCACACTCGGGCTTTTCCCCCGATTGATGCATCTGACCACAATTATGGCCACGTTCTGTGCAAAACGTCCTTAGTGCAACTACAGCCTCTCATCCAACTGCCCCAGAGGAGGAGCGGAAACCTGTCCACTTTCTCCTATTCTACATTCTCCCCTCCTATAAAGCCCCACCCCACCGCCGCGCACAGTTCTTTGTCTGTTCATCATCAACATCGCACAAAACACAAAAAGAATATTAACAATTACAAATCAATAATAATAAATCTTCCAATAAAACCACTCGACCCCCCCCCCGTCCCCCCTCTCCGCTCCCTGCCCTCTGGTTATGTGGCGTTCAGTTCTTTTGCTTTTCATCATCAACATTGCACAAAAACAAAACGAATGTTAAGAATTACAAATCAATACTCCCCCCCCCGGACCTCTGGTTATGGCCAGGGAAACCCCTGGCAGCATTGATTGGTTACTTTTTTTTTTTTTTTGTTCAAAGCTTTACTGTCAGATGTGCCCTTCTCATTGGCAGATTCACAATCATACCATATTGATCAATTCAACATACACTTCCGTCTTCCCCCCAAATAGAACATCTGGTCATTATAGCTGAATTTGGGGCAACTTTCAGCCTAGATACAGAGATAATGACTATGCGTTCTACCTCCCCCCCCCCCCCTTTCACAACCGCGCCACCAGCCGGGTGCCAACCTGCTCCCGACCACACCCTTCCAAATCTCCACAGACTCCACCCAAACCAGTGTTGGTCCTCAGTTTGACCGGGGACCCCTTCCCAACCGGCCGGCCGTCCCGGTTGGCTCCCGGTTCCCCTCAGCGCATTTTTGCTGGGGGCAGGATTTTTTTTTTTTTGGGTCCTGCGTTGTTGATTAGATCTCGCAGACCCTGTCAGGATCACGAAACATAGGAACCAGGGCCCTCTTTTAACGAAACAAAAAGCGGCCAATCTTAGCCACTGATCTTTATTGATCGGTGGCTAAGATCGGCCGCAATTCAAACTTGTGGGACGGCTCAAACTGCGCGCGGAAGACTGCACGGCTCCGCCCCGCCCCCCCCCCCCCCCCCCCCCCCTCCTCCGGCTTAGAAGTTGGCACAGGTTTCAAGAACCCAGCCATGCCCGTTTCACACTTGGAGATGCGCCGTCCAATGCCACCGCCGCATTTCGTCGGGAGACGCCCCATGCTGCGGGATCGCCATGCGAGCCCGCCATAGTGAGTCAAGGTGTGTGTGTGTGCGTGTGTGTGTGTGAGAGAGAGAGAGAGAGAGAGAGTTGCGAGCCTCCTCTCTTCTTCTTCTTCTCGTTTTCCTCCTCCACTACTTCTCTCCTATTCATCATCATCATCGTCATCTCCTCCTCCTCCTCCTCCTCCTCTTCTTCTTCTTTTTTTTTCCTCCTCTTCTTCTTCCTCCTCTCCTCCACTCCCCTTCGTCCCCCCC